GGGGGGGTAGGATGGATGGATGGATGGGGAGACAATGGTTCGTTAGAGACATGCTGGCGTGCCACTAACAAACGTAAACCAGATTCGTTCGTTCGTGCGTGCGTGCGTGCGTGCGTGCGTGCGTGCGTGTGTGCGTGTGTGTGTGTGACACTCGCGAGCGAGGCTTTGTACGTTATCGTATCGTGCGCTTTCTCCGTGTCCGCGTCGATTTCAGGAGAGAGTGTTAATGGAAAGGGGATCATCGTCGTCGGCAAAGATGAGAGAAGGTTGTGCGAGGGAAGCCCTCACAGAACAGAAATGTAAGGAGGTTACCATTAAATGTAGGGAGGTTACCATAAATGTAGGCAAGCCGCCTCGGGCGCACCATAAATGTAGGCTACTGAAATATTCTAAGTCCCTAAAGCCATGTTGAGTGAAAGTTGGAAAAAGTTCTCGCCATCTTTTGATATGTTGTTCTCCGTGCATCAAAACGCCGAAATATGTACATGTGTAAGGACATTTTTTTTGGTCAAAACTTTGAAAATTTTCTGTGGGTGCGAAAATTTTCAAAGTTTGATCTTGACTAAAAAAGTTTTGAAAAAAAGTTCTCGCCATCTTTTGATATGTCGTTCTCCGTGCTTCAAAACGCCGTAATATGTACATGTGTGTGGACATTTTTTTTGGTCAAACCTTTGAAAATTTTCTGTTGATGCAAACTTGAAATAAGCTGTGAAGTTTGCCAATAACAATAAGATAAGGAATTAGGCAGGTGCAAAGAACATAAAATTGGATATATTGGAAGACAAGTTTTAATACAATTCAAATTTTGGTATTTTTGTTAACAAATCGATATAAACAAAACAAACAGTTGGAAACATAACAGAAATTAAACATGTAAAATTATTAACAATGTCTACTATAACAACAGTGGCGAGTGATTTAAAGAAGGGGAAAAATATTATGCAGACTTAATCTCTCTCATATTTGTTTGCCAGAGGAAAGCAGCAGAATTTTGCACCATTATGCGGATAGAAAGTCAAAACACATTTCCTTCCGAGTGACTGTGGTTTAATGGCAATGCATCTCTGCGTCCGCTCTACAATTGTGACAAATTTGTCTGAACTTATACCCAAGTCCCTATCAGAACATAGTGTGTCCCCTGTTGGTCGCAGCTCATCACCCAACACAACACAAAAATCTCGAGGGTTTTCCTCATTTGTCTCGACCTTGAGCATATGAGTTATAATTATAAAATCATTATCTTTTGTTCTGACAACGCTATTGAACCTTTGCTTAAGCAACTGATTGTCCTCCACATGGTAAAGGACATGTTTGTAAATGAATCTCTTGTAAAATTTAGCAACAGTTTTAAGTGGAATGTCACCAAGACAAATTTCAATGAGGTTTTGGTGATGGACAGTCAATGCCTGCTGTGAAGGAAAACCAAATAATGTAAGGTTCCGATTAGCTTCAAATGCCAGCTTCGAAATTTTTCCAGATCTAATGCTATTTAAAGTATCTTTTAAGCAGAGAGGGGCATGCACATTTTCCATTGTTGCTAATGTTTCAGGTTTTAATCCCTGGTACCGGAGATAATTTTTACATATCTGCAAGTGAGTTGACTGAGAGGAGCTGTACATGTCTGCCAATAGCCCATTGTAATTCTCAAAAGTGAAGGTGCTCCATGCCCACAGCCCACCGAAACATTCCACACTTTTGGGAATGTGAAGAAGTAGATGAGTATTGAATTTCATTATCTCATAACTATATACAGCTTCTGCTGTTAACACAAACTTTCTCAAGGCCTCCTTACCCTTCTCGAAATCCTCGGCACTGATGTTCTCATTAAGAAAGCATGAAATACCATACACTAGGAGAAACCAGTGGTTTACAAATTCTGCTGAAAAGTTTATACCTTTTAAACACGGTAGAGAGTAGTATAACAACCACTGTTTCCACTCGTGTCCTCTATACATACATCTACATGTCTTTAGCCGCCTGGGCACCCTAGTCACCTCTGAGGGCGGCTTGATTGACACAAGCAAATTGTCTAATTGTTCTAACATTGCCGGATTAATGTAATAAGGATGTTGTGCCCTGTCATCTGGCCCTGGCCCCACCCATACCCTCCTGCTATCGAGCCAAAACTGACATGTCATAGTTTTCACAGTTCCTAGGAGCACAGCATGTAAATAATCTGGCACAAATGATTGAATAATATTGAACAGAGGTAATTGAAGAAGCACAGCGGCTTCCTGCACACCATCAATGTCATCGACATCCCTACCATTCTGTCGTTGTTCCAGAAGTTGTCTTGTGGTTTCCGCATGACCAAGCTGTGTTCTGGCTTGCTGCTTATCTCCTCGATACAGATGGGATCGTCCTCCCCTGTCACCAACATGCAGTTGTTCACCAGGGTGAAGACAAAATGAACATCCATTATACCCAGAGAATTGCTTCAGACCTTGCATGGTAGGCCTTGCCGCAGAGTCGACTGTGCACAAAATTACATGAACTTTGAAAAGAATAGGTTCATCTCCAGGTAGTTGGAATCCATCATTGTGCAATGAACGTAGTTCTTCCACAAAAGGTGTGAGGAATGTATTCATGTTTGGTTTGCTTCCATGCCACAAACCGCACAGAATTGTGTTCTCTTTCCTCTCCTTATATGGAAGTTCATTGATCTGCACTAGTATTGGCCACATCTGTATTTGAGACGTCTCAAAAACCTGTACACCATCTGTGTTCAATTGTAGTGTCAGGCTGTGGTTTCGTCTAACAAATCCTCGTGCTAGTAGGCCTTCTTTGTAAAACCGTCCATTAACCACATCACTTTCACTATCCTCCCAGCGTAGGCTGCCAAAAAGCTTTCTGTTTTCAAGCAAGCTAAGAAGTTGGGGTTTTAGCTTCAAAGTTGAGAAATAATTCTGCTGAATGTCCAAAGTTTTCTTCCTGTTGTCATGATTACACACACACACCTTGTTCACCTCTCCTTCTTCAAAGCGAAGTAGTCTCCGGCAGTCTGTTTGAAGGCAGTAATATTCCCTTTCAGGATTGACAGGTGCTGGAGGCATGTGCTTCTTGAACTTGTAGAGTGAGCCGTAGACATTCTCACAAGGCAGATGGGCCTCAATAACTCGCAACAAATTTTCAATAGCAGCATCACTGAGGCCGAACCGAAGAGCAAATGTCATAATGAGCAGAGTCCCTTCTGACTTGGTTATAGGGCAGCCAGGATAAATTACTCGTCTAGGGTCTTCTGGATCTTCATCAGGTGGGACAGGAGCCACTTCGTCTTGGCCATGAGGTTCATCAAAGTTTTCCATTTCATTATCACGACCACCATCATCATCACAGTTATTGCCTCCTTCTTCATCATTCTCACTGCCTCCGTCATCGGTATCAGCTTCCCTCTGTAGCTCTTGGTCACTTTCTCCGTTATCTGCTGCTGAGGATTCACTTCGAACACTCTGACTGTCCTGGTCATCACTGGCGCTGAGCGAACTAAGGCTCGATCTGCTTCTGTCACTGTTGTTGTCGTCGTCGTTCACAGCGTCCTGATGGAAGGTTAGAAAAAGAATGTTATTACCTTACAAGACAATGATTTATAGGAAAATAATTAAGAGAAATTGAAAGTTGTGTGGACGCTACTAACCTCAACATTAGGCGGTCGTGCTTCTACTTCACGTGCACGTCGCAATAACTGGTCGTTCAAAGTCCTAGCAGGCTTAAATTCGTTCAAATCAATATTGTACTTCTTGTAAGTACTTGGCCTGTTGTTCATTTTCCCTTGCTGAAGTCGAAAACAGTCTTCGAGTGGGAAGCTTTCGGCCGTGTTTACTGTTTACAACTACAACTGTGGCCTACTGGTACGAAGCTTCGCCAACAACCGCACTGAAAAGCAAACTACTGCGTTTACTGGAAAAACATAAAATACAAGTGCAACGTAACTATTCGCGTGATTTTCACTCTGTAAAAATTTTGAATTATTGAAATTTGATGTGATAAATGAACTAGAGAAGAAAATATG